AAAATTAATTAATAGAAAAAATAAATGAATTGAAGAATGAAATTAATAAGAGAGAGAAAATATTTTATTTTCATTTAAAATTAAATTAAATTACTATAATATCTTTTGTACGAATTAACCAAATAAAAAAAAATGAGTGATTTTTTTTGTCCTAAAATTTTGGTGTAGATTACTAACATTATATATATATATATATATATATATATATATATGACGTGTTTAAGTTGGATATACTACCCCTCAAAAAACAAAGTTGGGTATATTATTACGGTTGGACGTGAGAAACGAGGAAGAAAAATGTAAGGCGTAAAGAAATAAGAATAATGGAAAAACAAATAAAAATGAATACAATTTTAGATTGAGAAAAATAACAAAATGAAGAGAAAACATATTTTTTTTCCTTAATTTGTTTAGTTAGGAAGAAAAAAGAAATGATACTCTATTGTGAAGATATTCTAAACCTTATAATAGAGCATAATTTCTGTCCTTATTTTTGGGGATAAGAGGGGAGAATTTTTTTCTTTTTACTCTTTTAGGATCTACTATTATTTTTTTTCTCTACAATTTTTTTCCTTTCTCAAACAAAACTAGGAATATTCTCCGAAGCTTCTCTATTATTAGCAAAACAGTCAAAAACAAAACTTTAAAAAATCAATTGAGTTTAATCTCTTTTGAATTTTTTTTTAATCATTATACTTTGTAAGTATAATTTTTTTTTCACAGTCAACTAATAAAAAAATTACAATTTTTATGAATTTTAATTAATTATTATAAGAGTCAGCTCATCTATATAAATTGTGATTAGATGATAGTGTAAAACTATTTTGCACTCATAATATATATCATTATTAAACCATTTTTTTTATTATAAATAAAGAAAATATTTATTTATTTTTATATGTACAAGTCATTAAAATGTTATATTTTTTTATAAAAAGAAAAAATATTTCTTCAATGAATTACATGATTAATTAACATATGACTCTTACTATAACTTTTGCTAAGTAGTGTCCTTAAGGGCAAAAAGGCATTAAATATTTTTTTTTGACAGATAGATATACTCTACTCAGTGTTTCTAATTACTTAAAAAAAAGTTGCCTGTTACATTTTTGACTTGATTATAATTTGTTTGTATAATATTAAATCAATTTTGAATCTTCTAATTTTAAATTTACAATTTTAATCTTTCAATTTTATAAAATTCATAATTTCAATTTCTTCATTTTCATTTGATTATTAAATTTTTAAACATTAAATAGATGACATAAATAATCAATATTTTCAAACCAAAATATTACTTTTCATTCTCATTTTTATCACATAATTAAAAGTGATAAATATATGGAAAGGTGAATTATAAGTATAATTTAATTTAAATATTATTAAATATTAATTATTGTGTTATTTATATAATGTTAACTCACAATGAACATTACATATTTAACAATCAATGAATAAATATTTAACGTGGAGATTATAATTGCTAATTTTATAAAATTGTAAGACTAAAATCATAAATTTAAGAATAAAAGAACTAAAATTACAAACTTGATATTACAAAGAGAACAAAAGTATAATTTAGACAATTGATTTTTTCATTGCTAGTATATATATATATATATATATTTAATTTCTCATAATTCTTTTTTACTTTTATTTTCAACTAGTATAATATGCCTTATTATAATTAAGTCAATTTTTGATATAACTTCAAAGTATAATTTCCTTTCAACCATCTAAGAGTGAACATCTTATTATGACCAGTGAGTAAAAGGCAATTCGTGCGATTTTTTTTTAAATACTGCACGCAATGACGAATTTAAGACACTAGGTTAATGAGAAAACTTTTTTTTTTAAATAAAATTAAAAATAACCATCATCATATATAAAAAAAATTATAAATGTAAAAAATAATTATAAGTAGGTTTAATATAACAAATTATGAGGTATAAAATACAATATTTTCATATTATACTAATAATTTAATTAAAATAAAAGAGTGTATCTATTCACCCTCATTATAATGTAAACCCACCACTACATACCCATTAGTGTAGGTTGTAGATTAGTGTAGGTTGTAGACTTGTGAACAATTATCAAAAGATTCAAATGAAAGACTTATATATATATTAAAAGACTGTTGTTACATTTGTTAATTATTATTGTATAATTTTTTAAAAGATTAAAATTGTAAAAATAATGTGGACACGAAGATAAGGATTTATCTTTATATATAAAATATAAATTACATAGCTAACCCGTTTGTTTAAATTTTTTTAATAATTTTTTTTATTAAAATATACAAATTTATATTTTTTTTGGGTGTTTTTATCTAAATTACTTATTTTCAAAATAAACAATTGTATACATTTTTAAAGCAATTATTTTTTCTAAAACCACTTTTTACATATATATATATTTTTAAGTTTAAGCAAACGACCATTAAGTTCTTACAACTAATTTGTTAACCCAATATGGTATATTTGTACAATAATCTCTTAATGTGTTTGCCTGTATGGTATAGAGGAGAGAAATGAGTAAAAAAATAAAAAAAAATAAAAAGTGAATAAAAATAAATAAGAAATAGAATAAATTTGATTGTTTGATTAAAAAGAAATATGTGAAAAATAAAATATATAAAAAATATTAGAAAGAAAAATACATATTTTAACTCTCTCCATTGTGTTTCTTATCCATCTTCTCTTAACCAAAGATGATGGTAAACAAGTAGGGATAACAAATAAAGCTGTACTCGTGGATAATACTCGAATCAGTTCCGACTTTGACAGAAAATATCTGGTTTGACCTGGTATGGGTACGGGTACGAGTAAAACCCGATAAATAAAATCGGGTACAGGTATGAATATATACATACCCGTCCCGTACCCATACCCATCCCCGATTTAATTATATTAAAAACATTTAATATTTTATTATGTGTAATTATTTATTATAATGTGAAATATTTATAGTTGTATAATTATTAAGAAATCTCTTAATTAAAATATGAGATAAAGAAATAATCTAATTATAATTATAATATAATAGAAAAATAATTTAAAAATATTATATATTTTTTTTGCAAAAAAAAATAATTTTTTATGGGTATGGGTATACCTGATACTCGACGGGGATGAAAATAAGGATGAAAATCACATACCTAACGAGTACAGCTACAAGTACGGGGATGAATATGTGTCGTGGGTACGGGGACGGGTATCATAAAACCCGTACCCGACCTGCCCCGTTGCCATCCCTATAAACAAGCATAAGTACATGCCTACGTCAAATAGAGAAGAAAAAAGAAAGCCCCTTTCTACTTATTTAATTTTTCTGAAATCCTGGTAAAACTTGTGGGTGCTAAGTTCTGCTTCCATAGCCACCACTAGACAGTGCTTTCTCCCATTCAAAGATAATAGAGCATATATAAATAGAATATATGCCAAAAGTAGAGTAGGTTGCACATAACTAGATCACCTTCATTTATGTCATTCATTTTAATGGCACAAGGGTTATATTTTATTTGCAAAGTGCGTTACATACGACAATGTTGTTTGATCAATCAAATCCCTTCATCGCCACTTTTCATGGATAAGTGTCCCAAAACAGAGCACATGCTTTAATTGGAATATGTAGGCATATGCTTCAGAAAGATAAAAACTAACACCGACTTCACGCTTGCTTTACTATAAAACACGACTCTGACATCGACATCAAACACAAATATATATATAATAAGTGTTAAATAAGTATTTAACTGAAAGAAGATATCAATTCATTTTCAAGTGTGTCAAAAATATGTTCAAACTATATTTGAGAGATGTCCGAATCAAAGAAATAATAATATTTAATTGTAACAGAATGAATACGTGTTGAATGTTTGTCTAGATATGTCTGATAAATATTGTCCAAAACGTGTCACCGGTATCATGTATATGTGTATATGCATCTTATGTGTTTTCTTTAGCCCTATCAAAGTAGATCGTTGACGTTGTAAGGGCAAATCAACCCAAAAAAGCTTGGTCCCGCGAGTACCATCCACTTCTTAATTCAATATTAGAAAGATGGTGACAGGAGTGGCAAAGTGGGATAGAATGATCTAGCTAGACATATAATATGCTTACAACACTAGGCAAGCCTTATGCCACATTTTCTCTCATGCTTGCTTTATCTAGGCCTACCATAAAGAGCCTTAAAGGTGCAACTACTACATTACCTCATAATAGAACAATCAAGGAAAATGTATCCCTAGTGGGACCCCCAATCTCAACCCCCACACCAATTAGTCATACCCCAGCCTAACAGCAGGTTTCCATGTCTCGTTGCCTTTTGAAAATGTCTAAACTGACTAAACATTTTTGTGCACAATGTTGCAATTTTGGATGGAGGCCTGAACTTTTAACGTTTGCAAAGTACAAGCAAATCCTAAATTGGGATGTTGACGGTTGTGGTAAAGTTAAACTGATGCATTGCTTTTAGCACCTCATCCTAAAAGCCACAAATTGAGGTATTACAAAATTAAATAATGGATTTGGATTGATTCAGATCCTCTCATTTTGAGAAAGTGATATAACAGGAGAAATTGTGGTATATATCATAAAGATATTTTTAAGAAAAGAAAGTGTAAAATAACATGATTGATGTTACAAAAAGAAATGGAGAAAAATAAAATTTAATATTGTAGAAAACATCATAAACAAGACTGAAATACATCATTGGACCCGTTCTACATTTTAATCTAAGTGTGGTCTCTAAAGTGTTTTTTTCTTTTTTTTTTTCTTTTATCCCTCATAGTATTTTTGATAGATCAAGTTAGTCATCAATTTAACACACTAACTTGGTCTGACATGTAAAAATTGTAACAGATGTCATAGAAGTCTCACATTAGGGACCAAAAGTGTATCTTAGGGCAAAAGAAACTATATAAACAATAGAACAATATCATAAAATGACTATTTCCTTCTTCTCTCACTTTGTATATATATTTGTATATAAGTGAATAAATAAAACCTACATGATCCTTAATCAATCCTGCGGAACATTAAACAAAGTTGACAAAAACAAAAGTTCTAACTGAACTCTGCAAAATGGTAAAGAAAACAAAACTGATATCCCATTTCCCTTTTATGTTTGCGAGCTGCAAACTGAGAAAACAGAATATCTCAACACAGAAAATCAAATTACAAAGATTCCTCATATTGTACAAGCTGTAAGAAACGCACAACATAGTAAAAAGGACTCAATTCAGATTATACTGCACATAGTATAGCACAACAGAAAAGGAAAGAAAAAAGAAAAAAAGAAGCCATGTCAAGCTAATGAAAGGAGAGCGAACCGGTTCATGGTTTGGTCCATAAGACTCAACACTATTGGAGCTAGCATACGTGCAACCCTTGGTAACGTAGGGTAGGTTAGAGTGCCGAGAATAAACCAATTGAAGCTTAAGAGAGCAACAGCATCAGATGCGGGTTTGTTTCTAATGTTGGAGAAAAACTGCACCACACTCTTCAAGGACATTCCTACTACGGCAAAGAGAGCCACTATAAGAGGCATGCAAGGGTCCTCAGCTTTCCACACAGTGATTCCAACCACAAGTGACATAATAGCACTGAAAAGTGATTGAGAAAGAGCAACGTCTCGATGATGGTCTAGTGCTTTGCTCATTTCTGCATCCTTTGAGATCATTTCTGGCTTAACCGGACCGGATTTGGGTTCAGTTTTCAAGAGTTTGAGCAACTCACTTCTGGTTTTGCTCTCATCTTCCCAAAGATCTTTGCGCCTTAGAAGATCTTGGAGGGCAATTCCACTCCCGCTGTAGTTGGAATTCCGTGAGAGGATAGGATGGAAAATGTTGTAGTTGCTGTCATCAATGGTTTGGATTCTGTCAGTGTTGTTTTGGTCCTTGGAGCTCCAGTATCCCTTGGATTGAAGTTCCTTGAGCCGAAGATTTTCATTTGTCTTATCTCGCAACTGTCAACGAGACAAGAGTGAAAAATAGAGCATTAATTAAATGAGGAAACCCTTGCTGCAGATGGATATAATTGGAGATGCTTGAATACCCATTTGATAAAGCAAGTGGAGAATTGGATAGAACAGTGACAGTAAAGGCCATTATAATTAGTAGAAAACCGCCAAGAACAAGTAGATTTACCAATGTCATGTTGCTGAATATCTATTTTGCAACCTTTGAATCCAATGAAAATAATCCCAACTTTCAGAAAATCTTAAATTACAGAAATATGGATGGTGTTTTCTAATAAAATTTTATCACACTTTGGCTAATTATTTGTCAATCTTGACAACTTCATTAATTAGTTACCTAAGAATGGTATTGAATGATTGCAGATATTAACATTTTGCTTCTTGTTTAGGGTCAACCTGAAGCTAAGTCTATGCAACTTAGAACACTTACTACATATTTTGAAGCCTCTTTTAAAGTGTACTACTGTAGTAACACAACACGTGATAATATCCGTTGATTATTAAATCGTACATGTTATATTGTTATCTATAAAATTTGTGTTATTTTTATATGTAAATAGTATAGGTTTTGATTTTCTAGTTTGCAGATTTTCCAGAGGGGAAAACTTCAATTACAATTACTGTCTAGAAATAAGAAATCACAGACCAGGATATATAAATTAAAAACAGTAGTCTCCGGGTCTGTTACTATGTTAATCTATTAGACTTTTAAATGCAAAGTATATTGAAGTAAATTTCATAACAGAAAATGTTCTCAAGCATTTTAATTTATTAAGGAACAAGGATTTAGATCCTTATCATATGCTCAACTATAAGACTTCAAACAGGTAGCACCAAGACTGATCAGTTTTTATATAAACTATTTACCTTTCCCTCTAACTTTTCAATTTTTGCAATGACCATATCATGCTCCTCTTCAAGACTTGATAGAAGTATCTCCATCATTTTGCGCTCTTTGACAGCCATTTGAAAATGTTCTTGAAGTTTCTTCTTATCCCACACTAGATTCTCCAGCTCTAACTGCATTTCATGTAGTTTTTGTTCCAGCTGCATAACAACATAACCACCATATGGATCTTAAAATAAGATAAACTTCATGCTTAGAAGAATAAAAGGAGGAGGCCACTCTAACAGCACAAACCTACCCCACGCCCATTCTTATCCCTTTTCTTGGTAACTAGGATGATCCTCATATAATAAATGAAAAGAAGAAGATCAAAAGGCAAAAACAGATGCTGACCAAATGAAACAAAAATTCACATGTATTTTATCCTATCAAAGGTATGGTTCCTTATGGTGTTCTGCCCCTTTCCCAGCCTCTTTCTCTATACATTCCTTCTCCCATTATAAACCAAAAGCAACCTCCCTTTTTCTACCTCACTTTTACTATTTTATTTGATACTAACATCTTCCTCTTCTTGATCCAATGTTAGGTTAAATTTATCTGATTGTAATTATCTTTAGTGCTAAATAATCAGATTTCACTCAACACATAAGCCTATTCATTAAGCACTAGTTCTAGCTAGAGACCTATACCATCCTTCAGCAATACAGAAGTGAAAGTGTTGGAATCGTATTATCTCCAATATTTTGAGCAAAATGAAATGTATTATGCTCATACCAAATCTTGTAATTGCAAATTAGACATGTTTTAATTCAAGGAAAATCGAATTGCATTGTGCAAGAGGTAAATATCATAAGAATAAAACTTACATGTAGTACTATAGGTGTTATTACTATTGTTCTCCAATCAAAATTGAAGTTTTACTTCGATAATATATGTAATAGAAGATTTGTTAAATTTCAACGTGTCTCAAAAAAGACCAATGATTAAGAGGGTGTAAGTAAGGCATAGAGGAGGAAACTCAATTGTAACCAAATAGTTTTTAATTAGGGAAGGGAGTTAGTTGGAGGTTAAGAAGTTATTTAGAAGTTGTTAGGAGAGGAGAGATCTCTTGAATACCTTATTGTATTTCTCTAGTTGTAATGATCAGCAGCATTGCTCAATCATACACAGAGGCTCATGCCTAAATTCTTTTCAGTTTGTTGAATCTTTCTTAAATTTTTGTTATCATATCAGTTGGAACCTATTAGTGTCTTATCGAGATAAAAAACTCAAATTCTGATCAAATCAATATCAACAATACCTATGATATTGTATTTAAGTTTTGTCCATATCATAACAAAACAAATACAACTACAGAATGAAAACTAACCTGCCTCTCCCTTTGAAAGACATCCAAAGCTCTTGCAGGCAGGGAGAAAATCCCAAATATCCATGTGGTTATTCTCAAGATTATGTTTGCATGGAAGTTAATTGTAGTCCTGATCAACTCCGTCCAAGTATATATCACAATTAAGGCTATTCTGATACCAAACAAGCATGCCAACTTAAGTAGAGAGAAAGGCCATGTCACCAAGAGTGTTACGTTAGTCAATAGCTCAGAAATCATTGCCATTAGTCAGTAGTATGAGTGCTCTTCTTCCTCCTCAATCATTACATGTTGAAAAGTTCCATGATGTTGCACCAACACATTTTATCACAGCATCCTGTGTTGAGATACAAACAAGTCCTACATTGATAAAATAAGATAAAAAAATAACAACTTATATAGCACAAATATACTTCAATGATTAAAAGGCCTTTTGGGTAATGACCAAAAGCAAAATCGTGAGGACTAAGGCTCAAAGCGGACAATATCTTATCATTGTGGAGTATGTTTGTGTAATAACTTTATGAAAATAACTCATAAAATATCCCCTCAGACAAATACCATAAAAAATATCTCCATCTTTGGTATCAAAGCCGCAGGTTGGATTCGGTGACAACCAATAACCTCTCGTAACTCATAACATATAATGTGATATACAAAGACAGATTCCGCTGCATGAAAATTGTTGGGATACAAACAAGTTCCACATCGATAAAATAAGATAAGAAATAACAACTTATATAGCACAAACATACTTTAATGATTAAGTTAGGTCTCTTGTTTGAGAGAAGGAGTTTTGGGATACAAATAAGTCCCACATCGATAAAATAAGATAAGAAATAACAACTTATATAGCACAAACATACTTCAATGATTAAGAGGCTTTTTGAGTAATAACTAAAAGCAAAACCATAAAATATCCCCTCAGACAAATACCATAAAAAATAATCCCATCATCCTGCAAGATCAATAAATCCACGAGAAAAAAATTATTGGGGACTAAACAGCAATGGTGAATATAAACAACGGGAATGTTTAGCTTCACTGGACTAACTAGAGTTAAGCACACACCTTAGGTGGCAATGGTGGAACTATAAGACTTCATAATAGAAATAAGAAATCCATCTCACCTTACAACTGAAAAGCTTTTCAGTAAAATACTTGATGGCTTCTGTTGGAAATTCAGGAGCGCGTGTATAGTGCAACATAAGTTAGGAAATGACTCAATGAAAGATATATAAGAGATGTGCCTATATACTCTACGGTTTTGGATAGAGACGCCCAACAGAGCTATTGCACAGTTCTCTCAAATGATACAAGTTAGAATGCCTCCTTTCCCTTTACTCCCCTTATTTATCTAATTGATCCCTTTAAGTAACTGTCCCAACAATTTTTCCCTTGCCTAATTCCTAACAATTTATCATTTGAAAGAACTATCTGAAAATTCAAATTATTAGCCTCAAATCTCAATTATAGCTGCTGGTCTTGATTTAATTTACCAACAATATAACAACAATAAAGCCCCTTATACTAGCAGGCGTGGTCGACTGCATGGATTTTTCTTAAGCAGAAAACCGATAGAATTGTGTGTATTTATGATAGAATTTATCATTTGAAAGAACTATACTGATAGAATAGTTTACATTTAGTTAAGCAGAATACTGAGTAGCATGCTTACAAAACAAATGCAATTTTCTTTTCAGAGGAATAGTTTGGCACGAATGAAATGAACAAAGCCCAGATAATTAAAACCTGAAAACAAATTTGGGTTTGAACTGAAAACTCAAATCCGAGCAACCCAGAAGTCAAATAAAAGAGAAGATTAAACCTTTCAAACGTAATTCCGAAATGATCAAGCAAAACCGATAAAAAAAAAAAAAAGGAAAAAATCGAAGCTGATCGCAAACAAATCCATTGGAAGGAAGAGAGTAACCAACACTTACACTGCATGCAAATAGGAAAGGATGAAAACAATAGAGCTGAGCTGAGCAGAAGAAAAAGCTGAAAGACAAGGAAACGAAGAAAAGCATGAAAAGGCAAATGTAGAGTGAGTTTGAAGGGAGTGCATGAAGTATAGGTGGCAATGAAAGCGTTCTCAATGTGCCACGTAAAGTGTAAGATATATATGTGTTAAGGTAACATCAATCAATTGTCCAAGAAACAAACAAAGGAAAAAACATTAATCCATTATCCATTCATACTATAGTTATCATAATTAGATATCCAGCATTTCCAAACACAAATGACACCTTTTATTTTTTTTTTATCCATCTCTTTTATTATATCATATTTTAAGGTATAGACACGTTGAGAATTGAGAAATAAGATGAGACGAGAAAAATGAAATATATTTGATAATTTTCTTAGAAGAAAAAAATAACGGTTATAGATTTTGTGTACAAGCCTAAACCAGAACCTCAGGAGAATTAAAAAATTCTCCCGTAAAGATAGCTTATCGATGTCGATAATATATATATTTTGGATGAGAATCGTGGAGCTCAGATTTTGAATATACAATTTTTTTTTATAAAATTTAAATTTGAAATATTACTTATCATATATATTCTTTTTATTGATTTAAACCTTTTAAAAGATTGATTTATTAATTTATTTAAAAATTTATTTTTCATTAACAATATTAAATAAAATAATAAATTTAATTTAAATAAGTTAATAATCATATTTTTGAAGAGTCTTTTTTTTTTCAATTTACATAATAAAAAAACAATTTACTCTATTATTACTATTTTGAATTTAGAGTTTAAAATAAGAAATAAAAAATTAATCAAAGGAAAACTTATGCATATTTATGTATATTAAACTCAAAGATTTTAATAGTGAAAAAAGATAATCTTATCAAGAAAAAAACTTTTTAAATATTTCATATATTGCCTTTAAAGTATTTTAAATAATTAATCATAAAGATGAAAGAAAAAAGTTAATAAAAATATGACTACTATAATTTTAATTTTTAATATCTTGATTTTATATGAACAAGAAATATAAAATATTTAAGTGTAATAAATATTGATAATTCAAGTTTTTTATTATATTTATATATATATGAAAGATCAAATATTAAATTTTAATAATTTAATCGTTAAATTAAAAGTTTTTAATGTATAAATCAAGTTTATAAAGTTTTAAAAAATTATATAATACTTCATTATATATTCTCAATTAAAATAACAAAATAAAATATCAAATATTTATCACTTTTTTTTTTAATTTGTAGACTTGATTTCCACATTAAAAATTTATAATTTAATGGTTTGATTGTTGAAATTCATCTTATATCATTAATTATTGAAACTTATTATAATAATTTGATTCCTCCTCATATATATATATATATATATATATATATTGATTGAATTAAAAAGATGAAGTATTAAATAGTTTTAATTTTTTTTAAATGTATAGATTTGATTTATGTATTAAACGGTTAAATCGTTAAAATTTAATATATAGAGTAAAATAACTTTACGTAGAGTTACTCTTGAATCATTTGATCTTTCTCCATATAGAAATAGATAAATATGCCTACTAGACTTGTTTTTTTTGATAAAATAAATAATTTTTTTAAAAATTTAAATCTAACATCTTTTTTTAAATATAACAAGTAAGGTCAAATCATAGACTATTTAAGATTTGACTTATTTTCATCTCTATGTATAATATAATTTATTTATTTTGTTATAAATTAAAATTATTAAAGTTTAATATACAACTTTCATAATTTTAATTTACATATTTTAAGCTTAATTAAAATTAAATCGTCATGATTAATTTAAGATTCTTTCTTTTGTAGGTTAAATATTTGGTACAAGTTGACATTTCTTTTAAATTAGAACAATCAAGTATAGGCCGTTAGGTAGTTCTTTTTATATTTTAATTAAGATTATGTATTTAGAAACACTAAATTTCTTAAAGAAAGCCTGCTAAGACTAGTGGAAAGAATTTGTGATATTCCGTACAAAATTTTAAGTTCAAATGTTAACTTCATATCATTGTTATTTTTTTTTTATGTATTTAAAAATAAGATAATAGTTAAATAATATGATCTAGAAACAAACACACGTTAATCCAATGATAGCATCTTTCATGAAAGATTGTATTAATTAAAAACTTTCACGTCATTTCTCAGTGGAGAATCACGTGTCATGTTGAAGCTCTCATGAGTATCCCTGTTCTCCTGGGTTCTTTATTCTTGCTCTGTTTCGTTGCAGAATGAGTAATGATCCACCCCTGTTTTGGTCAAATTTATTTATAACATTGAACAAAATAACTATGAGTAATGATCCACCACTGTTTTGGTCAAACTTATTTATAATATTGAACAAAATAACTCTTCAAAAATTACACTTTAATTATCCTGACGAAACTTAAATCGTTTTCTAAATCATCATCAAACACAGTCTGACCAAATCTTATTCCACATCTCCCGTCACTCCCAATTTTTCAAAATCAAGATTTTGTTTTTCAATAATATATATATACACACACACATATATATATATATATAATTTCTTATATCTTCCGGTAATTTATTTTTCGTATGAGTTGAAGGACTAATCTTTCAATTTTGGAAAATTTGAATCATCTAAGAATTAAGATTATTTTGAGTCAACACATTATTTCATTCCATGTATTTGGTGCAACATAAAAGTATCCATTGCTTTATTTTTAGGTTTGGGAACTAGTAATCGGACATTCTCGTAACTTCCAACCGATTCATTTGTTAAAAATATGTGACGCCCATGAACTTGGTGAATGCATTATCACATATTTTATCACATATTTTAGGCCAAAATAAAAGGTGTGTCATGTGTTACTCTCGCGCAACATATAACTTGGGGAAAGTAAGGCTGCGATTGACACCTATTACTTACAAGGCCTGAGAGGAAAACCATGTTATATAGAAAGGTAGCAAAAAGAGGTAAAGGTTCAATGTTTGACACCCTTTTAGTGTGGCATTAGGTATGACTGCATTTTCTAGTGTCTTCCATCCGGTTCAATCTCTATTTTTGGTGGTGCTAAAATGTTAATCAAATTTCACAAGTTTTCTCTCTTTTTGCGGGTTTTCTTAGCTCTGAAGGAAATTATATGGCTTCTCACAAGCCAAACATCAAATATTCAACCAACAAATTTCCTAATCTGCAATATGCACTTCTACTTAATTCTCATTGTATATAGGGTAAGGGATTTAGTTCCATAAAATGAGAAAAACAAAAGTGTATTTATTAACTTTGTAAGCTACCAATAAACTTTAATGGAGTTTTTCTTCCCGTGCGACCACATTTTCTTTTTCATTTACAAGATTATAACTGAAATATTATTTAAAACATTTGAGTCGAATTTAACTTGAACCGGTATAACTTAAACTACTCTAGCCTTTGAATCTATTATTGATACTTTTTATTTTATTTTATATATATATATGTCCAGTAAAATAAACCAAGTCTTGTCCATCCATATGATAATTAAGAGATAAATTAAACCAATATTTTTCTTCTTCTTTGAACTCGATTAATTGGTTTCTTTAACTTTAATTTGTATCCTTTTCCTACGTGTTGACAGCCACCTACAAAAATCCCAATGAATAAAGGAAGAAGAACAAGGAATGTTGTAGCAGACAAACTTTGATAAGTTAACCTTTTGTCTTTTTTTTTCCGAAAACATCTATAACTCGATAACTTGTTCCACACAAGGTGAAGAACATCAATTATTCAGTAGCATTAAAGGCATAAGCTTCCTAAAAAGCGTGGCCGATAGCAGGATCGAAAAATAATATGTCCTGCAAAAGCAAAGAATCTAAAAGATACCCAGTTTTATTACCCGTAAAATCTAGTTGGTGAAGAAAAAAAGGTAGGAAAATACGTTGGGATCGAGTTTGTTTGTGGAATTGTGGTCGTGTGTTATGTTTACAATGCGAAAGAGAGCGATTAATGAAGAAAGAATCATTTGGACTCGGAGGTGCAGCGGGAGTGTTTAATGTAACTCCCATTGGAAGGGTGAAACCTGAGTTGACACTCCAAGTTGCACCAGAACCTAACCGAACCTAAGGGCCCTACCCTCCACCGCGTCCTGGCGCTTCCCTTAACGTCGAAGCCGATGATGTCACGCTTCCACGACTGGTCCACCTCCTCCATCTGTTCGGGAGTCAACGGGATTGACTTACTCTGAACGACATAGCGCAGCGTCTGGGAGCTGTTCTTGGGGACCTCGATGATGCCGGCGACCATGACGGCGATGGCCTGGCCCTGGTAGCTGAGGTTGAAGCGGACGTCGGAGAAGGTGGCATGCGCCTTGGCGTTGCCGTTCTGCGCGAGGACCATGATGGTGAGCTGCGTCTGGAGGAGGCCGGCGTAGTCGTTGCTGAGGAGGTCGAGGTGGGCGTTGGTGATGCTGATGACGGGGATTCTGGGGTGGATGACGACGTAGCCCACGAAGACAACTATGCCGGCTATGACAACGCCGATGGCGATGACGGTGCAGAGGATGGCGGCGAGCCAGATCAAGGGGTGCGTGTTGGCGCTGTGGTGGGTGTTGACGAGTCTTCTTCTGAGCCTGGGCTGGTGGTGCTCGGCCGCGTGGCCGTGGTCGCGGTGGGAGGGCATGGAGGGAGCAGCCTGCAGGGTGCTGTGCGGCACTCGTCAGCAGGAAATCAAGCCATGTGTTTCGGAGTTTTATGCAGAGGGAGGAGATGGGGAACTGCACAAAGATATCTCTTATTCCTCCCAAGGTTTTGGTATCTTCCTTTCCTAGCGTTTAAGCATTTCTCTCCTATACCACCTTCTGCTATTGCCCTACTCTCCTCCTTTTTATTTTTTCTTTCTTTCTCCCCAACAAGGTATCTTCGTCTTTAATGTTCTTCTAAAGTCTCTACGGACAACTCTTAATAACTATGCATTCCTTCTTTTCACTTTTATCCATACTTATAACTCAAGATTTAAACATCAATTCCAGTTATTTTTAAAGGTGAATGCGTGATGAGGTGTGTTCTTCTTGAGTTAAAGCGAAAAATTGTGGAAGAATAATGAGATAAAAAATGGTTCGTAAATATTAGTATACTATATTAGAAAAAGTAAATACCAAACTTGCGTGCCAAATACCGGCTCACTTGCTCTTTTCTTTGCAGATTTCCTGGCTTTCAAGCTTTAGTCACCAATGGCTTTGCTTTGCTAATTTGTCTAACATTTTTATTTCTTATATTTAATTATTTGTTAAATAATTTATTGCAAAACCAAAAACGTTGTACTTGCACATACATTGAAATTCATGAGTGTCCATACTTATATATATATATATAAGATGGGGGCTTGAATCCCTTATCTGTGGATCTCTATTCAGAGCATACCAATAAAGCAGGTCCATTAGAGATTGAGAGTGATGATCCGAATTGGGCCTCCTGAGTTCGGACTTCGTGGGCCGGCCCAAATTATTTATAGGCCTAAAATTTATTAGATTATAGAAAATTTTGACTTTTTCCCTAATTTATATGCGAAATTTTACAAAAAATACGTTTAATATATGCATACTTGACTAATCATATTATATTATTATTTTGTGTTATTATTTATATATATCAAAAAAATTTGTAGAGTTTTTTCGACCCTAAATAAATTGTTAATCTTGGAGATTTAATTAAAAAAATATTAAAAAAAACTAAGAATTTAATAAGAATCTAATAAAAGAATCTGTAAAAATTTAGGAACATGTAATAACGAAGAATGTTGTTTATCATACTCCTTCCGTTTTTTATTTATAGTCGTTTTGTCAAAATTTGTCATTTTTCTTTCATTATCATTTTACTAAAATCAATAATTTATTAATTTTTTTTCTTCTCATTTTTATCCTTAATAATTAATGTATGTTTACTGAACAATGTATCTATTTATTTCTAATATCTATCTATTTTTTTTTCCAACTACATATGTAAAGTTAATGTTACAATTAAAAGACCAATATGTTTCTAACAAAATATTATAAAAAAATAGAGGGTAAAATAGGAAAGTAAGTAATAAATATTTTTAAAAATTAAAATATCAATTATTTCCTTAAGTCCTGTGCAAAACCTTAAATGACTATAAATAAAAAACGGAGGGAGTAATATTTTGTACTCTCTCCGTTTTTTATTCATAGTCGTTTTATCAGAATTTGTAATTTTTTTTTCATTGTTATTTTACTAAAATCAATGAGTTATTAATTTTTTTCATTTTTACCTTTGATAATTAATATATGTTTACTGAATATTGTGTCAATTTATTTCTAATGTCTACTTATTTTTTCTCTAATCACTTATGTGAAGTTAATGTTGTATTTAAAAGGATAATATGTTTTCAATGAAATATTATAAAAAAATAGATGGTAGAATAAGAAAGTAAGTAACAAATATTTTTAAAAATTAAAATTTTAATATTTTTTTAAGTTTCGTGTAAAACTTTAACGACTATGGAAAAAAAACGGAAGGTGTAGCGTTTTATGTAGAGTTTGGCGGCAGTGAGCAGTGAGCAAAGTTAGGAAACACGTGTACGGGGGAAATTCCAGGTTTGCAACGTCGCAGGTCCGTGCAGATATTTATGGTTGGACGAAATGATGGGTATGCTGTAAGTGTGTTCCAAGTGTAGCAGATAGGTTCCGTCAAAGTCTCACTCTTACTATCACATTGTGACTAGTGTCACAACACATATTCACTGTACCTGCAACTCCATATTTTGTGGCTCACACATTCAACACAACACTGTCTTACCCACACCACCATGAAACTCTCACACACATTGCTTCGTACACCTTTCTCCACAGCCTCAACACTGTTACTCCGCACCCAAAATTCTGTCTTTAACTCCAATGGAAAAAGGGTCCCTGTGTTGGGCTACCAAAGCCTCAGGCTCCCCGGTTGCGCTTGCAGCAACTCGGGAGCTGCGGTTTCTTCTGCGGCGGCGAATCCTTCTTCGCCGCCGCATGTTGCTTCCAATTCCGGTTTTGATTCTGTTGTGACTCAGGAGCTTCCGGAAAAGTTGGAAGCTCTAGAGGAAGGCATTGAGAAGGTGAGAATTGATGAATACAGCTTTGTTTTTTTTTTTTTTTTAATGTTTTGAATATGGTTGTTGATTGTTCTGTTTTTTGGTGATTGGTTGTGTAGGCGATTTATAGATGCCGGTTTATGGCAATTCTAGGAGTGTTTGGATCTTTAATTGGATCATTTCTGTGTTTTATTAAGGTATGGTTTTTATGCATTCTTATTTACTTTCTCAAAGTTGTGGATGCTATTTGTATATGGTCAAATTTACCTGATTATTGTTTGCCTTTAATCGGATATTAGTTAGGGAAGGTTATAAATCCCCTTAGACCAACTTAAAATTTCGGAGCTCGGCATAATTTAATTCTTCTAATTATAAATTCTATTTTGAACATATCTCTATCTGATTTGAAACTTGGATTTTTCTCAATAGCCCTGCGATCATTTCCATAAGAAATGTCTCAATGATGCTACTAAAACATGTATCTAATCTCAGCTAGTTCATTTGTATATTTTGCTATTATGCTCCCCTGGTTCCTTGGTTCATAATGCTTGGTCACTGCTGTCTTTTTCTCTGCATACATCTTATGAGTATTCAGGGGGTGACTCTAGCATCCGATCATGGGAATATTATCGATTTCCTAACATTTTCTTTCAATTTTGAAATGTATACAAACAGCCTCTTGTATGAATTTGTGCTTCCCTTATACCATTCATATCTCTATGAGGTGATGAAGGCCTATGTGGAAAAATGAAATGGGTGGGAAGGAGACATGGAAAGTTGGGAAAAATAAAGGAAAGGAAAGTTTCTAGATTTGAAATGAAAAATTGAATAACAGTATGCTTAAAAAGATATTTCAATTGCTTAAAATGATTGAGTTAATTGAATCGATTTCAAATGATTAAGCAACATGGGATGAATTTTGATTTAATGCATAATTTTATTTTATTGATCCTTTAACACGCAGGGCTGCACATATGTTACATCGTCGTTTTTGCAATACTTTGTAAACCGCAGTAAAGTAATCCAAACGCTAATAGAAGCTATTGGTGAGTGTCTCTAAAGTTAAACTCCTATAAATTTGTGCAATTGGGTTCTTCTTATCTTCATTTTCACTGTCCTTGATGCTAAATTGCATTAGTCCCTGTCATCAATGAAATTCAATTTGTAGCATTTCACAAAAGGGCATTTTGGCATAATTTAAGGTAAGGCATTAGGCACATTTGTTTCTTGAGGTTTATCTAAAGGATTTACAGAGGTACTGTAGTGCTCTTTTAAGCTATTCTTTTTTATTTGTGTTTGGAACTTTGTTGTTCTAAGAGGATTTCTTATCTATTCTTTGTGCTTTATCTTATTTCTAACTTTTGCTTTATTGTCCATCTAGATGTCTATCTTTTAGGAACTGTGATGCTGGTCTTTGGAATGGGTCTCTATGAGCTCTTTGTCAGTAATCTTTCTCTTCCAGATCAAAAACCGTCTGAAAGATCAAATCTCTTTGGTTTATTCACTCTAAAGGTTAGCTTTGGGACATTCTGTTTCTTGGTCAACCTTATCTAAGTCAGTAGGATTTTATGTTCTATGTATTGCTACTGGCTACTGCCTCTCTTCTGCATTTAGATCATTTAAAAGAATACTTCACTGATATATCTCAGTAAAATATCTAAGAGTATCAATATCGGATATAGATACAAATACGTAAAGTAAATTAAAGTATTAGTGTTTATATTAATTACCAGATCTTGCAGCCTTGGCTTTCTTAATATGAACTTGTTTGGATAAATTTCTTAAGAAATACTTATAAGAGAGTAAAATATGAAAGAAAAAACGAAATAAGTTTTTCTATTAGCTAAAATTAATTTATATATAAGTTAATTTATAGAAGTTCTCTCTATTAGCTTCTCAAGAAACTTACTTTGAATTCATGCATATATAAGCTAATTTTAACTTATGGAGAAACTTATTTTGATTTTCTTTCCTATTTTTCTGTTCTACTAGTGTTTATACTTTATAGAGTAACTTATCTAAACAGTCCCAATATACCTATTTATGTGTCCACACATCACTGGCTAAGGGATTTCTCTCTCTTAATATACTGGGTGCTAATGTTAGTTTCTCTCTGTTTCTTTTCCTTTTCAGGAACGACCAAAATGGCTGGATATAAAAACTGTGAATGAACTGAAAACAAAGCTTGGTCACGTGATAGTGATGCTGCTTCTGATTGGGTTGTTTGATAAAAGTAAGAAGGCTGCTATAAACACTCCTGTGGACTTGCTATGCTTCTGTGCCTCTGTCCTCCTTTCTTCTAGTTGCCTCTTTTTGCTGTCTAAGCTCAATTAGGCAAAATCATATATGTTCACATACACCAAAGGTAAGGATATATAAGAAGTGATATACACGCATGAAAAAAAAAAATAGCTGTACTTAATACTTGCTTTTGTTCTGTATATATTAAGATGAATAAGCAATTGTCTTGCTCTTTCCTTTGTCGTGCATGTATATCTCTTTTAGTCTTAACCAATCACCTTATTTGGAGGCTTTGAAATTTTCTTAAAATTCATTAAAACAATGATAGAAGGTCTAGGGGATATAAATAAAGGATTTGGCTTCATGCTTTTTGTTGATAATTTTTATCAACAGAGTAGAAAACTTGCCAATAAAATGTGGCATATTACTAGTAAGCAAAGCATAAGCTGTTAGCTATCTTTAAACGGGCCTATTTGCGGTGGAGTAATGATTATCGTACATTTGCGTTTATTTTGTATATGTGGTTAATTAAGTTATAAGTATGGTTAATTTGTTTCTTAAGTAGGATTAGTACTATTAAACATTTCAATGACTTTATGAAATTGTTTGAGAGAAGAATTTAAGTAATATTTTGACATTATTAACTACAGATTAATAATTAATACAAGATTTAAATATATTTTTAATACTTTAAATTTAAGATAAATTTATTTTTAGTTTCTTAAGTTTAAAATTTATTTTTTTAGTTTATATAATTTCAAAAAATATTTGTTTTAATTTTTATATTTATTTTTTTTAAAGAAATTTACAAACTCTATTTACTAATCTCTCTATAGGTAAAAACATAACATTAACTATTTTAGTTAATTTTGTATAATTGTTTGTTGCTTTTATATGTGTTATTAATGACTTATGAGACTAAAATAAGATTTTGAAAATCATAAGCACTAAAAAAAATATTTAATTATGAGAGATTAAAAATAAATGTACTTTCAATTTAAGAAAACAAAAATTTTATTTGTCATAATAAAACCACATTTATTTTTAACCATTTACTATAAAAAGTTAACTAAAACTACATATGTAACTAGTTAATTAAGTGTGGCAATTAATAATCTCATTGTGAAACAAATTTAATTATCGTTAATTCATTAAACATTTCATTAACCTTGTGACACTATTAATCATATGTTGATAATTATAAATAATCACGTTTAAACAAGTTATTTTTAAATTATTCCAAAATTTCCATCAACTATTTTTCGCCTTCAGTTTCGTACATATCTTTTTTCATAATTTATTATTTAAAATTATATTTTTTATTCAAATGAAATTAATTATTTTAAAATATCTTTTTAATAAATTTACTTAGCTAAAAATTAATTATGATTATAATCAATTATAATAATAATTAGTTATTAAAATAGTTTAATTTTCATAATTATTTCATACATACTCTTAATCACATTAATTAACTATATTGATACGTATAAGTAACTACATATATCTGTGGATGCCTGGTGTAAATTTTTGGGTGTTTGTCAAACAACTGTAAACAAAAACTATGACTTACAGAGTTGCTCTTAAATGTTGGAACTTGAAGTGTGAAAAAGAGTTTCACAATAGACAGAATTAAGTATGTTAAATAGTATAATATCAATATAATATCTTAAATTTTTGAGCTATGATGTAATATAAAATTTACTTGTGTCATTTGCTACCACTCACTATTGGAGTGCTGTGGAGTTTTTAACTCTTCCATTAAACTATTAACTCAAAAGCGCCATCTGTGAGCCTTGAGTTTGAACCACCAACACCATCTAATCCAAGTCATTCTCACTCCCAACCATAAACTTTGGTCTACATGCATAATAAATGAGAAATTATTCAATATTATATTAAACAAATCAAATATATAGTATATAATTTCCCAGTAAGTCTTGTAAAACAATATTATTAAGGAAATTATATATATATATATATATATATATATATAAATCAATATCTCTAAAATATATAACAAATATACTCATTATCATTATCATATAAATTGATGCTTATTAAAAGTTTCATATTTATTTTATTTATTAATTAATTTTAGAGGAAATCCCATTCATCATAAGAACTAGTATTTTATTGCTATATTTTCAAAAATTAATTTCATACATCATTCTCAAAAAGATGCCTCACAACTATTATTTTCTTCTCTTCGCTACACTTTTATTTCATCATCATACCAATATAATCTTGTTCAGTGGTTTGTTTATACATTTTACCACTTTCTCATTTCATGTTACTGGATCCTAGTTGTGGTTAGGATATATTTTTTATACCTTTCCAGTTGCATTTCATTTTTCAATGCCTATTACGTGAATCTATCACATCTCCGGAACAAAATGCAAATTGATAACACCGAATAAATGCGCTAAAAGAGGGCACATAAAAAAGTAGCAACTAACCCCAGTATGCAATAGGTTGTAAATTGTCACACATTCAATTATCACAATGATTTCATTTTCTCCCCAAAACAACCACAAAAAACTTTCATTTTCACCCTCAAATCACAGCCACAAATAATTTCCATTTTCTCCCCTTAAATCACAGTCATAAATAACATATAGCCATTTAAGCAATTTGAAGTTAAATAGTAATTACAGTCACACCCATATTTTGTATGCCATAGATATATATATATATATATATCTATATATATATATATATATATAGTTTAAATATATCTTTACATCCTAACAAAATGAATAAATTTTTTATTTTGGTGCTTACAAATTTTTTATTTGTTTTTTTATCTCTCTAAAATGTGAAACCATATTTTTAGTTCCTACTATTATACATTTTAGCAATATATGTGTTTATTAAAAAGTCAAGTGATTATATCTTAGGTGTTCATGACTATATGTGATACTTTGTTAGTGTTTGATACCTTTAATTTTTTTTTATAAATTTTTAAAATAAATATTATTGATATGCCTTAAAATAATCATTAGGAACAAAAATAGTAAAATTATATTTTAAAAGGGATGAAAATCAACAAAAAAATATTTTACAGATATTAAAATTAACTTTTGTTTATTTTACAAGATCAAGAACAATATTTACAAGTTTTAAAAGAATAAAAAATAAAGAACATTTTTTTACAGAGAGACCAAAATTAATATACTATCTTATTTTACAAGAACTAAAAACATATTAAAATTTATTTTTTTTATCTATGAATATAATTTACTCGGTGTTTCAAGTTAACACAATCATAACTAAATTTGTGTTTGCTAGCATGACTTTGTTGACTTATCATAATTTTAACACTAACAAAAGTTGATCCTGAAAGCTTCATATACAAATTCATATAATCATTTATATAACATGATATAATGTGTGTATATTTTTTTCATCACATCATTCATTTTATTATTTATTATATTTATTAATTATTGAAATATATTAACATACGAGATAATGTTGTGTAAATTATTATATAAATTGTTGCACGTATAACATGAAATTAGTCTCTCTAACTCTTAGGGAAAG